AGCTGATCCTAAAATGTGTATGGAAATGCTGGGCCACAAGACTCAGAAATTAATCTTGAAAAAAGAACACAGTTGGAAGACTTAATGCTTCATGACCTCAAAACTTAACTACAAAGCTACAGTAATCAAGACAGTGTGGTACTGGCATAAGGATGGGTATATATGATATTTGTATCAATGGACCAGAATTGAGAGTCCAGAAATAAACTCTCACTTAGTCAACTGAATTTCAACAAGGATGTCAAAACAATTCAATGTAAACAGAATAATGTTTTCAAAAATAATGCTGGGATAAATGTATATCCACATGAAGTTGGACTTCTACCTCACACCATATATAAAAATTAACTCAAAATGGATCAAAGACTTAAATATAAGAGTAAATACTATAAAACTTGAAACATGGGCATAAATCTTCATGACCTTGAATCTGGCAATTATTTTTTTAGATATGACACCAAGAGCAGAAGAGAAGAAAATAAATAAGTCAGACTTCATCAAAATTAAAACTTTTCTTAAAAGTACACCATTGAGAAAGTGAAGACAACTTACTAAGTGGAAGAAAATATTTGCAAATCATATATCTGATAATGAACTTGTACCTAAAATACACAAAGAACTCTTACAACAATAAGAAACCCAATTTAAAGATGTGCAAAAGCCTGAATAGACACTTCTCCAAAGGAGATACACAAATAGCCTATAAAAGATGTCAATGTTGTTAGTCATCATGGAAATACAAAAAAAAAAAAAATCACAATAAGATACCACTTCACACCCATTAGGATGGCTATAATCAAAAAGGCAAGCAACAAATGTCGGTGAGGATATGGAGAAAGTGGAACCCTCACACTAATGGTGGGAATGTAAAATGATGCAGCCACTTTGGAAAACAATCTAGCAGTTCCTCAAAACTGCTCATAGAGTAATCATATGAGCCAGAGATTCCACTCTTAGTTCCAGCCACACTAAAATACTTTCATTTCCCAAATGCATATACCCAAGAGAAACCAAAGCATGTATCCATACAGAAATCTGTACACAGATGTTAACAGCAGTGTTATTCTTAATAATCAAAACCCAAAATGCCCTTCAACTGATGAATGAATAAAATGTGGATGGAATATTCCACACAATGGAATATTATTCGGCCATAAAAAGTAACGAAGTACTCGGGCTTCCCTGGTGGCGCAGTGGTTGAGAGTCCGCCTGCCGATGCAGGGGACACAGGTTCGTGCCCTGGTCCGGGAAGATCCCACATGCCGCAGAACGGCTGGGCCCGTGAGCCATGGCCGCTGAGACTGCGCGTCTGGAGCCTGTGCTCCGCAACGGGAGAGGCCACAACAGTGAGAGGCCCGCGTACCGCAAAAAAAAAAAAAAGAATACAAGAAAACTGACCATTCTAACATGTGTCTCCCCACTTCCCTGCAAGGATTTGAGTACCTATAACTGACACTTTTCTGCACTTATTTAATGTCTGTTTCCCTCTACTAAACTGTGGATTCCTCAAGGCAGGGATTTGGCTCATTTTTTCATGGAATTAACAATATTTATACGTTGTGTGTAAACTATGTAAAAGTGTACATCATAAGTATTTGCTAAAAGACTATCCTAACAGCTGTTACATGGAAAAGGGACTGTGCTTGTTTCACATATATGCCAATGGGCAGAAATGGAAGCTATTGATATAATGGCATGAATTTTAGGAATTTTCAAATAATCAGGGCAGTCCCTTTATTCAAAACAGGGGTTTCTGGGTTCTGTGGATTCTCTGAGTTGATTCTCAAATTCTGAATGTATGTATAAAAAGCATGTGCATTCTTCCTGGGAAAAAAATCCATAACTTTCACCAGATTCTCAAAGGGGTATATAACCCAATAATGGTTAGGATTCACTGTTTTTTTTTGTTTTTGTTTTTGCGGTACGCGGGCCTCTCACTGTTGCGGCCTCTCCCGTTGCTGAGCACAGGCTCTGGACGCACAGGCTCAGCAGCCATGGCTCACGGGCCCAGTTGCTCCGCGGCATGTGGGATCCTCCCAGACCGGGGCATGAACCCGCGCCCCCTGCATCGGCAGGCGGACTCTCAACCGCTGCGCCACCAGGGAAGCCCTGGGATTCACCGTTTTTAAAATGTCAGTGTACCAGGGCAGGGATTTTAGTTAACAAATTTCAGTTACTGGAAAACATCATTCAAGGTAGGTTTATGCCTAGATTATACTACTTTGGTAATTAATGCAAAAAGAGAACTCACAATATTAGTGTCTTCATAATCGTACTCATTTAAAAGTATTTATTGACTGTCCATTATATGCCAACTGCTGAAGAAATAATAGTAAACAAGACAAAGTGCCTGCCCTCAGGAGCTTACATTCTAGAAGGTGGAGACAAAAAAAAGAGTAAATAAATAAAATGTCGCATCATATAATAATGCCTTCAACAGAGAAAAGAAAACATGATGAAATAGGGAATGAGGGGAGTGTAAAGAGTTATTTTAGGAGCAGGAGGCTTTTTAGGACATGCGCCACCTTGTCTCCTTGCATGGCCTTGCAATAAACCTTTCTCTTCTCCAAACGCCGACGTTTCGTCGGGCACACGAACTTGCGTTAATATTTGTGCCTGTTCAAACGACAGACGGTGCAACTTTTCAGTGACTCCTTCATCTCCTGTGTTCACCCAGCGGTTCTTTCTAAGAATCATCTCTTAATCTCTCCCTTCTCCCTCCTCTCTTCCTGCACTGTCCTTACCCTCAAGGGTCTCTCAGTCACCAACATTTACAGTCTAGGGCCTTGTATATGATAGGATGGAGTTAAGTGCTGCACGTGTGTGGGACACCAGGGGGCAGGAGGTGGCCAGGAACGACTTCCCAGAGAAGGTATATTTTGTCTTCAGACCTGAAATGTTGCGTAAGTCATGTGGGGTGTGGTGAAGATGGAACTTGGGGTTTTCTAGCACAGGAATAACAAAGAGGCACAAAATAGATGAATTCATAAATATAATGTGAACTTGGTTAATTGCACGTTATTGGGTCTGGCTTCTAACCTTTCATTTCCCTCGCTTTGGCATTAACCTCTAGAAGACCTAACTATTTTTAAAGCCCCTCATTATCCTCCCCACTTCTAGGCACTTTTCGTATTCAAGTTTTCTTCTGCATCTGCCAGACTAAATCTTCTCTAAGCTTGGCTTCTTAGTTTCTTTGAACTACTGAAAAACCTGGAAAGACTTGATACTGAGCAGGACACTGTGGGGCTCCTGGGCACAAAATTCTGTGACCCTCATTACTCGATTACAGAAAATAGGCTTCATTCAGCCTCCATGACCTTCCCAGAGTTCCAACTAAGCAGGTTCAAACAGTTGCTAATTAGGGAAGGGAGGGGATGTGGAGACAAGGGAGGAACAGTGAAAAGAAACAATAGTGTCGAAGTTCCTTAATGGTCCAGTGGATAGGACTCAGTGCTTTCACTGCAGTGGCCTGGGGCTCAATCCCAGGTTCCCCTGGTCTGGGAACTAAGACCCCGCAAGCCACGCAGTGTGGCCAAAAAAAAAAAAAGTTATTTTAGCTAGGGTCATCAGGGAAAGTCTCTCTGAAGAGATCACATTTGAGCTGAAACGTGAGCCATGAGAAGGAAGCTGAGGAAAAAAAGTTAGCTAGGGTCATCAGGGAAAGTCTCTCTGAAGAGATCACATTTGAGCTGAAACGTGAGCCATGAGAAGGAAGCTGAGGAAAGAACACTTCAAGAATGAAGAGAACAGAAAGTACAAAGATTCTAAAATGAGAACATTATTACCACCTGAGTTAAGAGAAAAACCCATGTCTAAACGCCTCTCTATACAACATTCAGAAGAGTGTCTCCCACTCACAATGAATAGAACTTATTCAAGATAATTGAGCATAATGAAAATTCACTGTGATAAGAGACTATTCTAGACAAATCTTTACTGCTTAGGGTCATCACAAATTTACTCTTCAATGCAGACAATATCATTAGACAAAGTGAGCAAAACCTTTGGGGTTTTGTAATAAAACAGAAAGAAGAAAAAAAACCACCATGTACTTTTTTTTTTTTTTAAGAAGTCTCTCCCAGGTAGGTAGATTTACAAACAAAGATTATCAAGCAAACGCTATAAACAATTATGAGTTCGATCTGCTCTCCATCCCTAGAGCTTGGTGCTTTGCATTTGTAGTATTTATTATCTGTGAGGTACAAGAGGGTGGAGTTACAGCCAGTGTATACAAATTAGAGGGAAATGAGTTTCAGTTCAAAAGCAGCTGTCCAACAATCAACAGGTTGAATATTAGTGTAAGTGTGGAGACTGTAAAACCATGACTCAAGGTAGCGTAACTTCACGACCTACAAAGAACTGTTCCAGTTCTTTCTCCCAGCCTTGGCATCCCTGTCGTGTTACACTCACCCATAAAGCCCCAGAATGCAAACCAAAGAGTGGATTTTTTAACCGCCACATACATCATGCCAATAACAAAAAATTAACAAATACTTGTTCAGGGAAGGGGAACGCAGAGCTTTGTTCATCTCAGCAATTTAAATTCTTATTATTAAAATCTTCAAGGTATATTTACAAAGGCACAAAAAAAGCCCGACGCAGTGAGCACCCAACACCAAACTGAAAGTACACAATGAATTAAGGTTAACAGTACCAATTCCAACTATTTCATTCAAATGCACGACAGAAAGCACACGGAAGCCCTGAAGAGGGGAATCCAAGAGGGAGCCCTCCTGACTCAGAGCACCTGAGCAGACGGTGACTAGTTGCGTTAGGCCAGTGAGGGGAAGGGGCTGCCAGCAACCGGGGAGTGTGCCCAGGCTTATCTGCGTGCGCTCCTGGTCCTGCCTGCGGTGGAAGGTCAGGAGGGACCCGTTCGGGCAGCTGCCCGCTGGTGTCAAAAGAACCTAGGGGCTTGGCACCTCCCACACGCCGCCGGGTCCGCCTTCTCTAGCGGGGACGAAGATTCCCGGAACCGCCCTCCCTGTAGCATCGCTTACCTTCGGTGAGCGGCGGTGGCTCCTGCCGCTTTCCGCGGGACAAAAAGGCCTTGGGCAGAAGCAACGACACAGCCAGGACGAGCCCCGAGGCCAGGGCCACCCTCTGCACTGTGGAGTACGCCATGGCCACCCGCCCTCGCCGCAGGTGAGCTCCAACCGGAACCGGAACCAGAAGTGGAACCGCAAAGCCCGCGGCCTCCTTCGACCCCACGGAGAGCTGCGCAGACGGCGCCGCGCGAGGGACAAGTGACCAGGCGCCTCCGGCTCCGCGGCGGAGGGCTGACCCCTCCCCCCGCGCGGTCACCTGGTGCAATGAGTGGTACCCGCGCCCTCTCATTTGTACCGACTAGACACGCCTTCCACGCCCCACGCCCACCTGGGCGTTCTACCGTCGAAACAATCGATGGCCGTCCCTCCTCTCCATCCAGCTCACCACACTGCTCACTCCCCGCCCCAGGCCGCCCGTTAATTTCCTCCTTAAGGCCCCGCCCAGGCCCCGCACCTCCATTGTCCATCTGCATACCAAGGTGATGATACTACAACGCAGCTCTAATGCGTTTTAAGCTCTCCATAGCTTCAGATCTTTCAAATACTCCTCTTTATCCTCATAGAAAGGTCAAACTGCTTTCTATGACCTCAAGGCCCTGCGTGGTCCGGTCTTACCAACGCTCCGTGCAAACTAGATCATTTGCTATTTCCCCAGAATATTTCTTGCCTTCAGGGAATCTTTGCTTATCGTGTTACCTCTGCCTGGAAAATTACTAACGCATCTCCACCTGTTAAAAACTTCTCTGAAGAACAGCTGAAAAGTACTACCCTCATGAAACTTTTTTAGTCAGCCTCTCCTACCTCTGTATCCCCACAGTTCTTCGTTACTGTCTTTATGGCTTTATTTAACAAACATTCTTTTGGTTCTTACTATGTATCAGACCCTGAAATGGCACTACAGAATCTGATGAATAAGATGGCTTCTGTACGGGGTAGATAGTTATAGAAACAAGAAAATGCAGGAAAAATTATGGACCCTGGAGCACTCAGCTCAACTGGAAGGAGGAATGAGGAGAAAACTCCTGAGAGTAGGTGAAATCTGAGTATTTGAAGAGTGAGTTAAGTTACTAGGCAGACAGGTGGGAGGAGTTAAAAGGGTATACCAGGGAAAGGATGCAAAGAAAGCAAAGGCGTAAGCTCGAAGCTTCCTTATGTGTTCTGAAAACTATTAGTAATTCGTTTTGGCTGGGCCATGGGATTGGTGACAGGACATAAAGTGATAAGGCAATATAAGCAGGAACTAGGTTATGAGAAACTTGGAGCACACCCACTTATCTTTGCTTTCCCCAGACACCTCACAATAATGAAAATAAAAAGAGTGTATCAACTAAAAGACTAGAGACAATGGAAGAAATCATGACAGCAGACAACAAATGTCAAAATTTTGTAAGATGCAACATTATCCAATAGAAATATAAGGCCAGTCACATATGAATTTAAAATTTTCTAGTAGCCTCATTTAAAAGTGAAAATAAACAGGTGAAGTTAATAATATACTTATTTAACCCAAAATACCCCAAATATTATCACTTCCACATGTGTTGCATTAGTCAGTCACATTTCAATGGCTTAATAACCATGTGCCTAGTGGCTACCATATCGGACAGTGCAGGTTTAGAGCATAAAAAGTGAAGTGCCTACAGAGAGAAAGACTCTAAGAAGAAAACAAATTTGGCCTTCAGAACCTATAAAGTATTAGAAATTGGAAGCACTGAGTTCCTTTAAAGGCAGAAATGTGGAGTGGGACTGAATAAAGAAGGATCGGTTGAAAGTCTGTCAAGAAGCAGTTGATATCCTCCAAATCTGGCTCCTCAATTACTGCAGCCAGGTGGTTGCCCTGGCATCACTCAGGCATCATCATCATTGATATCATCAATAGCACCGAAAGTTATTGAGCACTTCCTATGTTCCAGGTATTTTCCATATCATAACAATTGATTCTCCTAACAACTTTATGAAGTAAGAAATATTATGATATCCCCACTTTACAAATGAGAAAACTAAGGAACAGAAAGCACAAGTAACTTGACAACAACTACACAATATACATTGGAAGTTATTGTTGGAATCCAGGCATGCTTACTCCAAGACTTGCTCTCTTAACCACCAGTTTTACTTTCTGGAACCAGAGATGCTCTGGACTCACAGACAGCAGGTGCAGCTTAGGAAGGTGAAGACTGATGGGATAGTCTAAGAGGTGCAGAGGAATCCCAGATCAGCCCCCAAATTCTCACTCGGGTGACTGGATAGACATTGATTCCATATAACAAGATTTTGAGAACAGAAGAATCAGATCTGTGAGAAAGATGAGTTCAGATTTTGACGAGTTGAGTTTGAGTTTCCATGAAATGTCCATGCGGAGCTGTCCAGTTGGGTATACGGGTCCGAAGCTCAGAAGAGACGTTTGGGCTGGAGACAAATATGGAAGTGATCAGCTGACCAATAGTAAATGAAGTCTGGGAGAAGATAACATTAGCAAGAATGCTCATGTAAATGCTAAGAGGCCACAGTGGAAACTTAGGTTACACCCTTAATGTTGAAATTCCCAAGTATGAGGACAGAAATGCAGTGGAAAAGAAGATACTCATCCAGGTGCTAAAATTTTGAATGGCAATCAGATGACACGCTCTTCTAAGAGTTGTAGTTTGTTTTTAGAGTAGTTGTAGCGGTGGCAGCAGCAGTCACTCGGAGGCATACTTCTAAGTGCCTTACATACATAAATCCTTTGATGATTATACAAAACTTCCCGAATAAATGCCAGCTCTTACTAGTAACTATTTGGTCTAATTCTATTTTTTTATGGTTCTACACTCAGAACAAACCTATTTTCCTTTCACTTGCAGCCCCAGTGTCATGGAACTTGTAAATTACTCCCTAGCAGCTTCTCCTGCGTTGCTGGCATTCTTATCCCTGTGATAACCGCCTTCCCAATTCTCCTGATTTAGCTCCTTTCTGCTTTCTTAACACCCAATTTCAGCACAGAAGCAAACTGCTCATGGGCCACAAGATCCAGGGAAGAGAACCTACCTTCCTCTGATGTGCAGTAAGTGGTCGAGAGGGGCTCTCTCAGCCTTAGGCCCAAAGAGAGGGGACCTCTGTTTGCCTCCTTCTCCTTGGAATCTATTTCCATTCTGCCTTGTGATGACCAGCGGGGCTCCCTGATATGAGGCCCTCGAGGCACTGCAGCTAGAGCAACTTAACTGCAGCTGCTTCCAACTGAGACTGCCTAGGGGCCCCGAACTGTCCCTCCATGAGAGACATTGGAAAGTCACTCAGTGTAAAGTTGTCATATTCATAGTCATTGATCATAGTCTAGCCTTTAGCCCTCTGTCACACAGGCTGTTGACTTACTTCTATGACTTGTATTAGTGATTTTCAAACTTGCTATTTTTCTGATGACAGATCTTGAATCCAGAAAGCACGGTAAGCAGAAGGTTTGGGACGTCAAGGAGAGGAGATAGAGTCAGAGTAAAATATGTACTGAGCAGTATCCAATTGTTTGTTTCTCTGGGGAACTCTAACACAGTGACTTTAGCTATTTCCGAAAATGTAATTCCTCCTGTTATTGAGGCTTCTCCATCCCAGAGGAGATTCCAAGGATGTACCTTGGCCTCTGAAAACAATTTTAAAGAGCCTATAAGGAACCATAGCAGCTCCACTGTAGAGTCATGGACCCTTGTTAAAGGCAGGAATCAGGGTGGTGAGCAGAGAAGTGAGACCCAAATATCCAGAACACTGAGCAGAAGGGAGCAAAGGTCTGTAACTTCAAAGCCCAGAATGAAAACGCTAAAGGAGGCAAGCAGGAGATGGGACAGGATACACCCAAGAGGGTACGTTGCACCAGGGCCTTGAGAGATGGATGGAATTTCTATCAGGGATAAGGGGGATGTGATAAACATCTGCCAGTTGTGGTTGTCCACAATCTTTTAAATAGCCTTTCTTTGTCAGATGTTATACACATTGAGAACCTCACTTTCTCAATGTAGAATCCAACCAACTATATTTCCCCTGGCCACTGGGGTGCAGATACATAACTCTGTTTCCCCAGTCAGATGTACCCATGCCTGATTTCGGTTTGGAAGTTATCTATGAGAGGGAACATCAATGCCTGGGCTGCCTTTTTTGACGGCCATAGGTGGTAGCAAAAGTGGAAGCTCCCGCAGTTGGCGGCGGCCACAAGTAGCTTCCTAAAGGCAGAGCAGAGGCCACGCAGGTCTGGGGTCAGTGGCGGCAGAGCTCCCTTACTAGGCTAGTTCTGTGGAGTTTTCCCAAGCTAGTTCTGGGGGTTATTCCAAGCTCCAGAGCCCCAGTTTTCTCACCTGTGAAATGGAGACTATACCACCCCCTTCCCCTCCCTCCCTCCCTCCCGTGAGCTAGCAAATGTGATGGAGCCTGGAAGGCAATTGTGTGTGAGACCAAAACAGCAGGAGGAGCTGCAGCTCAAAAACAGCAGGAGGAGCTGCAGCTCAAAGCACGTCCAATGAAAGGAAGTTGGAATCAGAAAAGGGAAGATGGTTTCAGAGGAAAACCTATAGGGAGGAAGCCTCTAGAAGGCCCATATTCCTCACCCTAAAGCTTTACCCAACTGGGACTGTGTGGGTAAAGGTCAACGGACCCAGATTTCCTGGTGGCGAGTGGTCAAGGTGAGAATACCCTTACTGCTTTGCTACCAACACTCCTCGCTGGCCCCTGCCCCTGGTGACACAGAACAGAGAGAAGTCACAGTTGGATACCTTGGGCCTTTCTGCCTTCAATGAGAAGAAATAGACTTTGGCTCCAATTAATATAGCAAACTGATAGAAATTCCCTGCTTAAGTCACACTTTGCATATCCATAATCTCTGCACTACATTTTCTGTATACTTTGCCCCTGGGTAAAAAATGGTGAGCATTTAAATGCTTGCTCACATAATCTTGCTAAAGCACACTCCTGCCTATAAATATTCATGCCACTGCCAAAACATTTGCAAGCTTTCCCCAAAGGTGAAATGTGTGTAATGTACTTTGTCTTCTGGGTATAAATATTATCCAATACATTTTAGTTAATATGAATACACTAATTATTCCTGTAACCCTT